GCTGCATTTATGGATATGATGAATATATTATTTAAACCCTATATGGATCAATTTGCTATTATCTTTATCGATGACATCTTGGTCTATTCTAAGTTTGAAATTGAGCATGAGGAACGTCAAAGGATTTTCTTACAAACTCTAAGGGAGAATCAATTATATGTGAAGTTCAACTAGTGTGAGTTTTGAGTTTTGGGAGTTACATTCTTGGGTTATATAGTCTCTGTGAAGGGTATTTATGTGGATCCAAAGAAGATTGAAGCTATTATGGGTTGGAAACAACCAAATAATGTATCGTAGGTCCGAAGTTTCTTAGTTTTAATTGGTTACCTTAAGATATTTGTCTAGGATTTTCTTTCATCACCACCCCTTTAAGGAAGTTTCTTCGAAATAATGTATCTTTTGAATGGACTAAGGCCTAGTATGCCAACTTTGAGAAGCTAAAAACCGTGTTGATTGAAGCATCGATTCTGATTCAGCTGATCCCGATAAGGCTTGTACTGTGTACAATGATGCATCTCACACCAGATTGGATATGTGCTTATACAGAATGGGAAGGTCGTGGCTTATACATCTCGACAATTGAAAGCTCATGAGTGTAACTACCCTACCCACGATCTCGAGTTGACAACCGTGATCTTTTCCCTTAAGATCTGATGACACTATTTTTGCTGTGTGAAGTGTTACATTTACAATGATCATAAGAGTCTGAAGTGCCTTATCACTCAGAAGGAGATTAATTTGAGACAACATCGGTGGTTGGAACTGCTTAAGGATTATGATTGTAAAATCAAGTATTTTTCCCTTAAGATCTGATGACACTATTTTTGCTGTGTGAAGTGTTACATTTACAATGATCATAAGAGTCTGAAGTGCCTTATCACTCAGAAGGAGATTAATTTGAGACAACATCGGTGGTTGGAACTGCTTAAGGATTATGATTGTAAAATCAAGTATCACCTCGACAAAGCTAATGTGGTTGTCGATGCCTTAATTTGTAATGCTATTGCGAATTTGAGGGCTTTATTTGCTTGGATGAGTTTGTATTAGGATGATAGTCTATTGGCAGAGTTATTTGTAGTTCTTACTCTTATTTCCAAGATCTGTACGGAACAACATAACAATTCATTTTTGATTTAGCAAATGAGGCTCATGATAGTTTATATTCTATGCATCCTGGTGTGGAAAAAATGTATATGAATCTCTGAGAGAGGTATTGGTAGAAAGGACTTTAGAGGGATATCATCAGTTATGTCTCTCAGTGTTCGACCTGTCAGAAAGTGAAGATAGAGCATCAGCATCCATTTGGGTTGTTACAGCATATCGAGATTCTATAGTGGAAATGGGAACTTGTGGCTATGGACTTTGTTTCGGGTCTACCTTTGACTCCATCAAAGAATGACTCTATCTGGGTTATCATTGATCGTCTTACCAAATTTGCTCACTTTATTCCAATTAGGGTTGATTATTCTTTGAATATGCTGGAACGAATTTATATTGTTGAGATTGTTTGTTTGCATGGGGTACCGTCATCCATCATTTTAGATTGTGGTCCAAGGTCCACCGCGAAATTCTAGAAGTCTCTTCATAGTGCCCTTGGTACTCGGTTGAATTTCAGTACTTCTTATGATCCATAGACCGATGGTCAGTATGAGAGGGTGGTTCAGATTCTTGAGGACATGTTGAGAGATTGTGTTGTTGATTATAGGGGCAATTGGGAGAAGTTCTTACCGTTGGCGGAGTATGCTTACAATAATAGTTTTCAGGCCAATATTAAGATGGCTCCGTATAAGGCTCTGTATGGACGCAAGTGTCGAACCCATATCGGTTGGACTTAGTTAATTGAGCATAGATTATTGGGTCTGGATTTGGTTTTTGAGGTGGAGCAGACTGTTAAGATGATTTGGGATAGACTGAAGATTGCTTTTGATAGATACAAATCTTATTCTGATCTAAAACGTCGAGATATTGAGTATTCAGTGGGTGATGAAGTCTTTCTGAAAGTATATTTGGGAGAAAGGTACTTCGGTTCAGTCAGAAATGCAAGTTGAGTCCTCGTTTCATTGGGCCTTATCGGATTATTCTTCATGTAGGACCAATTTCTTATTAGCTTGAGTTACCACCTGAACTTGCACGCATTCATGACGTCTTCCATGCTTCTATGTTAAGATGTTATCAAGCCGATCCGCCTCACGTAATAGATGTGTAAAGAGTAGAGATCTGACTCGATTTGAGGTTAAAAAAGGAGCCAGTTTGAAATTCTTGAGAGGAATGAGAAAGTTTTTTTGGAGAAGGACCATTAAGATGGTTAAAGTCTTGTGGCATAACCAGGGTTACAATGAGTCCACGTTGAAGACCGAGGAGGCCATAAAGGCTCAATATTCGTATCTTTCTCCTCTAAGTAAATTTCTTGGATAAAATTTTCTTTAAGGGGTAAATTGTAACACACCAAAAAAATTCCCAAATTAAAATCTCAAAATTTAGAAAGTTTTGACCTAAATTCCTAATTCAAAAATAGTGACTAAATTGTAAATTTGGAAAGTTCAAAAGTTTTTTCGTGAACCCTAGAAAGTTCAATGGCCAATGCTACAATTAATTTTATTTTGAAACAAACTCTTCCCCTACTATTTCACTGTGCGACACTTTCTTCTTTTCCCTAAAAAAACCCTAGCGTCGCCGCCCCTGTTTTGTCACCTTCGTCGTCGTTGCACCATTTTAGCCTAATGCCGCCGCCGTCCTTGACGTTTATAGGTAATCCCACCGCGACCTTACCTCCGTCGTTAACGTTTTGGATCATAATAGTGAAACCCACAAACCTTATATTTTGACTGTTGTCGTCGTGGTCTTGTTTCGGCCGTTTATGGACTTGCGCGGCCGGCGTTCGCATAGAGAAGGCCTAGCATTGCCAGAGGTTCATCGGGGAGGCCTCAACGGTTGTGAGGAGCCCTTATCGGGTCTGTTTTAAGCTTTTGCCGCCTCTACTCCTAACCATGAGTACCACTGCCGGTCGTTTAAGATCACAACAAGGTCGGTCGTGACATCCACGACTCATGGGACTGCTGCCGGTAAAGTTTCATCACCGATAACCTCGTTTAAGTGTACTAGCAGTCCCTATATTTGAATCAAAAGTCTTTTTCCAAATCCCCGATCGAATTAGAATATTTTTGTTCGTCGATAAATACTACTTCTAAATTGAAATTGGTTTATTGGTGTTTGATTAGGACATCGTAAATTTTGCAAGGAATTCTAGATGGGAATCGAGTTACCACCTCCTCCACCATTATCTACAAATGTCAAATCAACCCTTATTACTCGTGTTGAGCACGAGTGATAGATATTATTTTAGTCGTTTGAATTTGTCAAATTAATTAGATTATTTATTTATTAAATTATTTCGTAGATTCTAATTTAGGTCAATCTACTACTCGAATTAATCGTGGTAGAGGTTATTATTGTCATTAGTTATCTATCGGGGTGTGTCTCTTTATTAGGTGTTATATTAATTGTTTGACTGCTTGTTGCTTGGTTAATTGAAATATCCTTTTTTTAGATAGTATTTGAATTAAATAAACGTGAGGGTAAATTTTCAATATATTTAAAAGGATATTTGAGAACAATTTTGGGAAAATTTAGTTAATGTGTCTTTTGGATCGGACCAGGTAAAGGGTTACACCGATTACCACGATCGATCAAATGAATTTAAGAGATTCAGTAATTGAGATTTTAAGGATTGAATATTGAAATTTAGGGATTCGAGACTTTAGATTTTGAGATGATAGTAAGGGTTGTGACTGATCAGTGGATGGTCGGTCGTCGACGAATAGATAACTAGAGATGACAGATGATTGGAGTAAATAAATATTTTTAAATAAAAAATTGGGAATTTTTAAAAATAAAAATTCGTAGCGACTTTATATAAAATTTAAAAGGGGATGTTTAAGATTTAAAAGTTCATAAAAGTAATGAGATGGGGATATTAGAAACAATGCTACAATTTGATAAGAAGTATATACCCAAATCTATTTAGATGGATATTATTATATCCTCTACTTCGTTGGTGGTGTTCTTGGATAACAATACTTATTATGACCCTAACATCGGTTTATCGTTAAGCAGCTTCACACCATTCCATCATATGACACCCATAACATAACGTACATAATTGAACTTTTTCCCCCCAAAGATGGAGGTTGTTCCCTTCTCATACGATCTCTGTCTATTTTCCCTCGCAGATATCTTCTCTTTTTCTCAGTCCCCAAAACATAACCATATGTCTATACTAAAATTACGTGTTTAATATCTAAATTATCAATTCTGATATTATTTAATACCTAAAGTTTTAATTTTTAAAAATTATACTTAAAGTTTTAATTTTTATTTCATTTTAATTCACAGTTCAAAATTTAATGTTAAGTTTTGAAAAAATTGAAAATTTAGCCACTAAAATGGATCAAAAATTATAGTTTAGGTACTAAACGCATTAATTTTTTTAATAGAGAGGTACTAAAATGAAATAAAAACTAAACGTTAGGTATGATTTTTAAAATAAAATAAAATTTTAGGTACTAGAACGATCTAAATTGATGGTTTAGATACTAAATGCATGTTTACCTATAGAGATTTTAATTATTAATTTGGTTGGCTGGAGTTTAACAATTTATTGACAATAAATTAGATACATTTTAATTATAATTGAATCCCTCAATCATTTATCAAGTATAAAACATCGATTCTCGTACAAGTCGGATCATGGTTTCCACCAAGCAAGATTTTCCTCGACACCTAATTTATTAGGTATGAATTTGTTATTATGTTATTTTTTGTGCACTTATTATTGTATAACACAAACCTTTTTAGCACAGCTAAAGGATGATATATACAATTATAATTTATAAAAGTTATAAGATATTTCGAATGTTATTTAAGTGTTAAAATAATAAGACTATCAACAAAAATTATAAAAATAAGAAAACAATAATTCATTCATTTTCCCTAATAGGGGTTATTTCGGATAGCAACCCCTAACTCCATAAATAAAACAATTCATTCATTTGCCTTAATAATAATAATAATAAATTCTACAACCCCAAAATGAAGGCATGGATATCTTCCCAGCTAGAAGCAGTGTAAAGAATTCCAGATTGGCCCTTCCAAATACGAGGGCTTCTTCCTTGAGCAAATTCCTTCTGCTTCTTAACCAAGCCTGGGAACAATGGGACAAATGAAACACCGTACTGACTCCCCACTCTCCTTAGGCTTGAACTAGACCCGACCACAATGCCTATATCTGCTTTTACCAGACACAGTAGATCACCCACCGAGTCTCCGACGTAAACACTCAGGTCTTTTCTGTCATTGCTGCAGTCTTGTAAGATATCATCGAAAGCTTGAATTTTGTCGATAGGGGACTGAACTTTCCAAACGATTTCACCTGTGGATACTGATTCTGCAAAACTGAACTCATTTGCATGTATATTCGGAACATCTAAACCCCCTGCTTCAACAAAATTTCTGTCAGTGTTAGTGTTCACGGCGTAAATTCCAGCAAATCTATTGAGAGAGAACAAACCTACCTGAAGAAAACGCTGTCCGGATGAGATCACCGCACCAACAATAGGAAAGAACATGGACATTGGCATTAAGATTTTTGTTCTGTGTGATTTTTTGAAAGAAGTTAACACAACCATCTTGAAGAATCAGTCTTTCGCCAGCTCGTTTAATGTCTTCAAGGTTTAGACCCTTAAGCACCCCTGACTCAACCACCCTAGAATTTGCTCTTTTCTCAAAGTCGGAGAGTTGCTCAAGTGCTTTATGCAAAGTTTCATAATTGAACTCCACTGTAAAACCATGGGAAGTAAAAAAATCAATGTAAAGGAACTAATTTAAATGTTATCCAGACATTTTTTAGAAGATTATATACATATAGTTAAATACCTTTCTCAGAAGGCAATATACTTTCTATGCATTGTTCATACTCTTCTGTGTATTGTGTAGAAAGTTGACCCCAGGTGTTCCTCAGCTCAGCAGATGACATCCTAGTAATTTGACCTGCTGGTTGGTTCTGATCAGATTTTGGGGCCGTTACTATTGCTATCTCTGCCAAAATGGCAGATGAATCAACAACCGTGCAAGTAAGATCAAAATCAGAAAAAATCATAAGACGATCTAGTTCGGGAGCATGTTCCTTAGTCAAAGGAGCAATAGTAGGCTGAGTAAGCGGTTGACTATAGAAGAACTCTATTTCAAGTTTCATTGCTTGGTGATAAAGTTTCTCAATGATGTTTAGTTCCTCGCCTGTCAAAGGGACACTAAGTTTATCCAGCAAGTCTTCTGTTTGCAGAGCTGATGCCTAAATTCAAAGAATCAATTGTTGAGCCATGGGATTGAAGGGCAACTTACCCAAAGATTTTAGCTCCAAGACTGTAATCAAGTTGACCACTACAAACAACGAGTGCTATCAATACCATACCTGAAAGTTTTCAGAAGAATAATTCTCAATCCACTTCTTGTATGGGTGATCGTGCTCATTGGATTCTAGAAGTGCCTGAAACTCCTTGCCCAAAAATGCATACAGCCTCATGCAAGGTGTCATGGCCCCTAGAGTGTAAGCTGCAATTTTTGTTTTCTCAAACGGAGTGGCAAGTGTTCCTGGAGCTTTTAGTCCTTCAACTTTCCCAGAAGCTGTTGCCAGCAAGAATTCGGTATACTTCAAAGTTGCAGAATTGACAGGGCACTCTTTAACACAGTCAGAACCCCATTCCTGCAGAACTCCAGCATTCATACAAATAAGATACCCTTAACCAGACAAGAACTAAGGAGACAAATATATGCATACAGAAAAGAAGCTTTATTGCATTGTAAAAAACATAACAAGGCAGATAGAATTTATTCTATAAAAAAGTGTTATTATTTACTCAAATCACTTTAAAAAAATATCAAAATTCAACCCCCATCCAATTGAAACTTGTCAACCGTGAAGAGGACTGGATATTTCGTATGAAAGCCATCTATATGATCAGAAAGAGAGAATCAAAATGTACAAAAAGACGGGATTAAATTCTATTGGAGACGATTTCATACACCCGTATGACCTCAGGTTGAATCATCACTGTACTAAATAGTTGGTGATAATGTTTTATAAATATACAAGCAAGGCAATAGAAGGAAAGATTCAATTTCCTTTTTTCATCTTAACTTTTCCAATAATTGAGCATGCAGTAAGCAACAGAAAAAAGGAATCCTACTTACACACCTGTACAAAAGAATTGTGCATTTTTAGCTCCTCCAAGGCACCCTTCCTTAACTCAGAGATAGCTAATTTTGCATCATCGTCATCAGCACAGTCTGCTGACAATTCATATCTACAACCCAGATTGAAGAAAACAATAAATCGACTAAGGACCTATGCCTAGGTATAAACAGCACAAGGCGATTCTAATTAAAACTAGCTAAGAGAAAAAAGATACTACTTTTAATCTAGCACACCATGTCAATTAAATTATGGAAACTGACTCGCCTCAAGCAATGTAATTACTTTTCCCCAAATAATAACAATATAACCTCCAATTAGATGCTGAGAAAGCTGACACAAAGAAAAGAAATCTCTGAATAATTACTCAAGCAACCAAGTGGCACTTAGAAATTAAAGGTTCATTCATCTTCTTTTCCTGACTTTCTCAGCAACCAAATCTAGGAAGGGGTTGAAGCTAGCTAATATCAATCTTATAACAGAAATTCAAGTCTCGAACAGCAGGCAGCATAGTTTCATACAAACCATGATCATTTCCCCTAAACAGAATATCAGCAAGGATTCAACAATACCAAAGAGTAAAAAGTTTATGCCGATTCTTCAATTTTCTTTAAATTTCAATTAAATAAAAACTACACAGGGGCAAAAAAATAAATAAATCCCCATTTGATATTTCAATTCCCTTCCATCTAATCTTAGCATATACTGTACAGTAGCACAAAAAAAAAATCAAATAAATCCAACAGAAAAATACATTCTACAAAACAAACAAGACCCAAATTGAATATTCCATCTAAAAGACCAAAAGAAGAAGGGAGAGATGAAAAGGGGACTCACGCACGAGCAAAGGCTTTGAGAAAGTGTACATCTTGCGCAATATAATGACGAAAAGTGTCGATCTTGAGAGACCCAGAAGCCAAACAAAGAGAGAAAGGTGAGTAAAGAGAAAGCATGGATTCTTTGCGAAACTTGAACCATAACCTAGTCGCTAGCCGGTCCTCTGTGGGGATAACGGCGGCAGAGGAGGACTTTGGAGGAATCGCCATTGGATTTGTCGACGAGAAGAATCGGCGGTGGGATCGGACAAGTTGAAAGAGAGTTGTGATTGGAGAGGGAGAAGAAGAAAAGAGGGAGCGCATCAAAGAAAGAGAAGAGTGGCGTTTTGGCAGTAATGGCGGAGGAGAGGGGAGAGTGTGAGAAAAGGGAGGGAATGCGATTTATCTATACTATTCGTTTTGATGTGAAATAACAAAAGAGGTAAACTACAACAATGCTTACTTATATTTCAGTCTTGTTCATGTTGGGTCACCAATTTTAAATAATTTATGTTATCGGACTGTTATATTTTGATTTTTTAAATCATTAATTTTCACACGTTATGAAATTAATTTTTAATTTAAACTCTAAACTTTTTAAAAAAAATAATATCTAAAAAGTTAAATTTCTCATAATTATTTTAAAAAAAATTATTTTCTTTCATTAAAAAGGAATAATGTAAAAAATATAATATTTGATTAGATAGTTATTTTGATCTTTATTCTTTTTATTTTAGTATTTTGGCTCTCAATATTTTCTAGGGTAAATGACCATCTTTGAAAATATTGGAAAAATGTTTGGTTGTTAAATTAGAAAATTATTTTTGGAAAATAAAAATAAAATAAGTGAAAATATGAAAAAAAATAGAAAGGACATTTTTAGTATTTTCATTAAAATTATTTCAGAAATTTTAAAAATAGAAAAACACATGATCTATATTTTTAACTTAATTTGCACAAATTCAAATTCTTTTAACAATAGTTTTTTTGACTTAATGGTATCTAAAACCCTCAAACTTTTGTAAAATATCAATATGGTCCTTAAACCTTTTTTACACTCAATTTAGCCTTTAAAATATTATTTAAGTAATTTAATTTTTAGTATGTTATATTTAATGTATTAAATATCTTAATAATTGTTTATATTTTAAAATTAATTAAGTCCTTAAATTTTCTAAGAGAATCAATTCGGCCTTCGAACTTACTCAAAAAATCAATTAAGTTCATTTACCACATCATCATCCATCATATACTACCACCATAACACTATGAACTATCACATAAATATTACATATTAGCATGTAAGCTTTGTGAATTGTCATGTAAATATCATGATGGTCAACGTTTTATTATGTTAGATTGATTTTTTTTTTATCAATTTAAGGGGCACAATTAATGTAAAACAAGTTCAAAGGCTACACTAAGGGTGTGTTTGTTTGGGTGTAATTGATTTTCCGGAAAATGAATTACTATAATTTGAATTACTGGAATTTGAATTCTGAAAAATGAATTACATTTCTAGAAAACGTAAAACGTTTTCCGTAAAATGAATTACATTTTTCTGAAAAACATCTGGAAAACGTTTTATGATGTTTGGAAGATGTTATTTAAACTTTTTTTTCCACTAGTTGAAGAGTTTTTAAAAAATTATTTATTACAAATATTAAATATAATAAATAATATTATTTATCATAAAACTTAATATTATTATTTTAAAATATTAAAATAATTTATTTATTATTAAATATTATTTTTATAATTTTATTAATAAAAATAATAATTTTTGTATGTTTTAGTGAAATAAATATTATAAATATTAATTATTTATTAAAGTAATAGTGTTATATTATATTTTAAAATATTAATTAGTATATTTTAAATATCTTTATTAAATATTTTTAAATATAAATAATATTCATTATTAAATATATAAAATTATTTATTATATATTATTAAATAAAAATATAATATATTATTATATATAATTGATTATTTTATAATATTAAAAATACAATATTATATTATTATAAATATTAATAAAAAAATAAATAATATTTTGATGAAAATGATATTAAAATATTTTATTAATATTAAATTCATAAAATAAAATTATTTTGAGTATTTATTCTTTGAAGTGAAAAGTTCGAAAAATGACTTACGGAAAATGAATCCGTAAGTCATTTTACAGAAAATACAAAGGAAATTCTGTTACTAGGAAAATGAATTACATTCCGGAAAATCAATTACGTGAAACAAACACGGGAAAATATTTTTCGAAAAACGAATTACATGAAACAAACACGGGAATTCGGGGAAAACCAATTCCGTAATTCCAATTACGGCAAACAAACACACCCTAATTTTCTTTTTCCAAAAGTTTTAGGGCCTTAAATACCAATAAACATATAGTTTTTTAACGACACATTTTTGTGCTAATGTTTACAACAATATTTTTATGTATTTTTTAATTTAATTGATGTCCAATATGGATAAACATCATATTCTTATTATAAACTAAAATATTTTTTTTGTTATTAAATTTCTTATCAACTTTATTGTTTTATATTCACATAACTCACATATTAAATTTTTTTAATTAATTTTTGTAGTAATTATATTTTAATATAATTATTTAATAACCATTTGTTCACCTCTAATTTTAAAAAAATATATCAAATATATTTTAAACTATTTTTATATATGAAGTTAAGTTTTCATTTATATTAACCAAACATGTTTTCTAACTTTCAAAAAATTAAAACTGAAAACTATTTTTTTTGCATCACACCCCAAAGTAGGGCCTAAAATTTTCCAATCAAATCTAATTTTAATTTCGGTTACAGTCGGGTCTAAAATGAACTTTCCGTTAACTTGAGAGCCTAGAACCTAAATCCTTGGAACCTTAGTGGCTTAAAGTGCAATTCCATTTCTTTTAATTGGGGAGTGGTCTAATAAAGTTGGGACCAATCCAGGTTTAGAAAACAAAAACCATCTTTTTCTTTCTCTTCAAACATTATTTTCTCTCTTTTTCTCTCTCTAAATATCTTCCACCTCTGTTTTGCCACCGATCTGGACTATTGCAACCAATTATGATTCCAGAGTGGAAATAAGAGCGTATTACAATGGTTTTTGTGATTGGGTTACCTCTGACTCCTTCGAAAAATGATTCTGTTTAGTTAGTCGTTGATCGATTTTTCTAAGTCAGCCCATTTTATTCTAGCGTGAGTTAATTATTCCCCGAGCAAGCTGCCAAGGTTGTATATCTCCGAGATCGTTAGACTTCATGTCGTCCCGTTCTCCATCATTTTTAACTGAGATCCGAGGTTTACTTCTAGGTTTTGGAAAGCTCTAACGAGGCATTGGGAACCCGTTTGAATTTTAGTACAATGTTTCACCCGTAGTCGAATGTTCAGTTTGAGAGAGTGATACAGTTTTTGGAGGATATGCTTCAAGGTTGTGTGATTAACTTAAGTGGTAGTTGGGAAGACTTCCTACCGTTAGCCAAGTTTGCCTACAATAACAACTATCAGACCAGCATATGTATGACACCTTTTGAGGCTCTTTATGGACGTATGTGTTATACTATTATCTGTTGGACTAAGTTTCATGATAGGAGGACATTGGGTCTAGAATTAGTACATGATATTGAGGATACTGTCAGGTTGATCTGTCATCAATTGAAAGAGGCATTTGATAGGCAAAAGTCTTATACTGACCCGAGGAGAAATTATATTGAGTTTGAGGTTGGGGATTAAGTATTTCTGAAGGTGTCTCTATAGAAGATGGTTATGATATTTGGACGTAAGGGTAAGTTGAGCCCAAAGTTTATTGGACCGTACCATATTCTGAAGAGAGTTGGACCTTTGGCTTACTAGCTTCAGCTACCACCACAACTCAGCCATATCCATGATGTTTTTCATGTTTCTATGTTGAGGCTGTACCGTTCAGACCCAAGTCACATCGTTCAGGTGGAGGATGTGGCTTTGAAACCTGATTTGTCTTAAAAAGATGAGCCAGTTCAGATTCTAGACCAGGATGAAAGAGTTCTTCAGAATAGATGGATTCCGATGGTTAAGGTTTAATGGGGCAATCGTAGATCCGCAGAGGATACCTGGAGACATTGGAGTCGATGGAAGCTCAATTCATGTATCTGTTCAGACCAGGTAAATTTCTAGGATGAAATTTATTTAAAGGGGAGAGTTCTCACACTCCAAAGTAAGGCCTAATTTTTCCGATCAATTCTAATTTTAATTTTAGTTACATTCGGGGCTAAAATGAACTTTTTGTTAACCTGTGAACCTATAACCTAAATATTTGGAACCTCAGTGGCTTAAAGTGGAAATTCCCTTTTTTTTAATTAGGGAGTGGTCCCATTTAATTTCAGTTACATTCGGGGCTAAAATGAACTTTTTGTTAACCTGTGAACCTATAACCTAAATATTTGGAACCTCAGTGGCTTTAAGTGGAAATTCCCTTTTCTTTTAATTAGGGAGTGGTCCCATAAAGTTGGGACCAATTCGATTTAAGGATAAAAACCATATTTTTCTCTCCATTCCTACTTTATTTTTTTTCTTTTTTTCTCTCCTCTAAATATCTTCTACCTTCATTTTACTGCTGTTTAGACCTCCATTTGTAACACCATTGTGTTCCTGGAGCTGAGAGGAGTCGGATAATGTCCTTGGTTTTCCCACCGTCACTGGCGTGAAGGGAGGTGAGGTCAAGAAGATTCCGAAGAAGCTTCAAATCGTTCTCCACTGTGATCCATCGCCATTTAACACCAGTAAGTGTCACTCCGTTGTGAAAAATTAAATAATGTATATTTTGGTGGTCGGCCGACCGTAAAAATGGTTGTATGCGCCAATGTCGTACGTGGGCTTGTTTTTGGTCAGTCGAACAGTTTGAATCACTTTCTGACCCAACTGACAAACCGTGAATATGTTAAAACCTGAACTAACCCAACCCAACCCGAGCCTAGCTAAGCTGAGCCACGCGCCTGAGCCATTGAGCTTGTTGATCGACGTCGACCGTGTTGATCGCCGTTAACTTCCATTGACCAGGTTGTTGACCGACTTTGACTTTTCCCATGACCACCTATCATAAGGTTTTTCAATGTCCTGAGTTCGATTTTTTGGTTTATCTTACTGAATTCCAACCATAAAGCCCCGAATCGAGCCCTTTTATCCATAATCTACTTACTATTTTTAGTGTTTTAGCTTATTTATTTAGGATTCAGACATGGTATTGATATGAGTTTATATTTTTGTGAAGGTACTTGTGTTTTCCATGATCCAGAGTTGACTAGATCTGATGCATCGCGTCCAACAGTCTAGTCTGGTGTGCATTCTTCGAGAGCTACCTATAGGTTTCGAAACTTGTTTAATTAGAGTATTTTATTTTATCATGCTAGGATTTTGACTTAGT